CACTAGGAAGCAAAGTCTTAGTGAGAAGTTGGAATAAGAAACATTTTCAGAACATAGAGATATTCCCTACTGTGATCAATGTTCAAGAGCAGTTTGGAAGGTAACTGGAGTTCTACAAAGGGATGCAGACTATAAAACTGGAGAATCTTAGCAATTCAAAGAAATTATGTTGACCATTCAGTTCTGGATCCATTTAAATCTAAAGCCTTAGCATAACACAGTCAGAGCCAAAGCCAGTGCCCCTCCCTCCTCCTTGTGCACTGGCTTGTAAAGATTCTGGGCAGCAGCTGCAGTCATTGAAACAGTGTTCATTTCCTTCCTTTGTGTGAGCTGCAATGGGAGCACAGAATGTGAGAGTGGGGGCAGGTCTGAAAGATGATTCACTGCGAAAGCAACTTCATAAATGGATTGGAATTAAGATACAAGATGCTTGAAGCCCTCCTACTCACTCATGGTTAATGCTGAAGTGCGCTGGGGCCTTAATTTTATTCACTTGCCTCTGATGGCTGCATTTATGAGTTGTAAATCTACTGGGGGAAAGCAAGTTTGGAGTGACAGACGACTGTAATGCTTTCTCTAGTTAATGTGCTCAAAAGTGGAGTGTTCCTGCCACTTGGGATCAGCAAATTCTCCCTGAATGTGTAGGGAGAACACAAGAGGTTCAGTACGCTGGACAGAGCCCCCTCCTTGGACGCCTAGGTGGTTCTGGGCCTCTGTCAGCACTGTGGACAGCACCCTTCGGGTAGACCAGCATGCCCCACTGGAGTCCTTGATTTAAACCCTTTCCGACTGCAAAGGACTCATGTCATATGAGGAGGCATTCGGCAAGAGTGCTGTGAGAAATCACCGGGAATGTTCTCCAAACTTTGGTTGCTCTGTACATTGAGGGAGACTGGTGGAAATATCAGACTGGCTCCAATATGTTATGCCCTGCTCAAATACACATATGTCTGTTTTGATAGAGGGCTGCATTTTTACAAAATAAAAAAACTCCTTACATTTATTAAGCCAACTACAATGGAATATACTCTTCACGTTCTTCCTACTGCCAGAACCTGTCAATAGCACTGTGAGATGGCAGAGCCAGCACTGATTGTACAGATAAGAAATATGAGTCCTACATTTATCATCCAAGGTCACACAGAGAATCCAGAGCAGAGCCAGAATCAGAATTCGGGTCTTGTACACGATGCTTCTGCTCAGAAGGTGACAGAGGATGGCGGTGGGACTGGTGGGCAAGCTGGGTTAAGACATTACTCCTTCTAGGCTCTCACAACGGGGAGTTTTGCATTAGTAATGGAAAGCTGCCACCAGAGGTCTCTTTTTAAAACACAAATTCCATCATGTCACTCCTCTGGCTTAAGGCCCTTTAAAGGCTCCCCATGGCCCACAGGGTAAAGTCGAAAAATCCTAATAAAATGTTCAAAGCTTTTCAAAGTCTGACTCCAACCTGCCTCTCCACACCAGCACCTGACATTCCATCTCAGCATCCCAGTTTCTACAGCAGGAAATTAGCTCATGTGCCACAGAAATCTCTACTGCGCTTTGACTCTTTCTTCCTGGCGGGCTCTCCTACTCCTACCTGAGCCTCTGCCTTTGGTGAGTGATGAGGAGACTGTCTCCTAACCAAAATTTACTGCCTATGTGCCCTCCTCTTTGAAATTCTTACCAAGCCAATGGGAGGAGTTTAACTTTCTACACTGTGCTTCTTCACAGCTTTTGTTTCTACCTCAATTATCACATTTATCACACTATACTCTAATTATTTTAGGCATATGACTTTCTTCCAAACTAAGCTGTGAGCACCTCCAGGGCAGGGACTCCTACTGATTCATCTCTGTTTACCCTGCAAGTACTGAGATGCAAATATTTACAGGGAATGCTTGTGAAATGAGAGCCTGAGACTAGGGAAGATAGTTTAGAGAGATAAAATTATGACAGAGGGTCCTGGTCTTTAAGAAGGTGCCTCTGGAATGCCTGAGGAACCTGTGAGGCAAATAAGATCCAAATGCTGATGGGAACTATTAGCTATGTGAATGCTCTAACCCACCCTAGTTCTCTGGCCCTGGTGCTGGTGTCTAGCTCAGAATGGGAAGCTGCAACTTCCCATGGTGGATCTGATCACTCATTCCTCTGCCCTATTGCTCTCAGTTGGGATAGGACTCACTGGACATTTGGCCTATTGCTTCTTCTTGCCATCAGCTTAATCAGTGCTTGTGATGGGTTTAGATCTTAGGTTATTATAAATAAGACTCATCTAATAGTTCAGCACACTATTATTAGACACTTGCTGAAATCTTCACATAGTGCCAGGTGTGGAGACTACTGAGATGAACAAACAAGCCTCAGCTTGTTCCTTTACAGAGAACATCCCAAAGTGAGAACTATGAATACTTACAACCATGTGAAAGAAGACTGGGCAGGTGGTAGCACAGGGAGGCCAGACCTAACTTAGGGAGGCAGGGAAATCCCCCATGCAGAAAGTTGTAGTCACAGTCCAAATCCACAGGTTCCCCATCCGCAGATTCAGTGAACCATTGATTAAGACTAATTTTTAAATGCATCTACTGAACATATACAGGTTTTTTTTCTTATAGTAATTCCCTAAACAATTCAACTATTTACATAGCATTTGCACTGCATTAGGTAATGTAAGTAATACAGAGATGATTTAAAATATATAGGAGGATTGCATAGGGTATATGTGAATACTATTCCTTTTTATATAAAAGACTTGAGCATCCACAGGTTTTAGTATTTGCAGGGGTCCTAGGACTAATCCCCAGTGCATACTAAAGGTTGGCTGTGCAGGCAGCAGCTCATGGCTCAAGGCAGGCCCGGAGCAGGGAGGGATGCAGCATCACACTTCAGCTCTGGCTCATTAGGATGCTTTCCTTGAGGACATCTAGGCTCCTTTTGAGATGCAGCCTTTAGATTTGCCCTCACAATATGTGGCTCTCACCAGACAGGAAGCCAGTCAGAGTCACCTCGTATTTTGAGGAGATTTTAAAGGAAACACTTGGCTAAGAGTGGGGGACAAAAAAGGGGACCTGAATCCCCACTCGTTCATGGAACTAACCCTCACTGCCTCTGGGGCCCAGTTCTAATTCCTGTCACTTTAAGGATGTCACGCCTTAACGCCTTCATCACGACTAGACTCAGCTGCTAATGGGTGTGTAATTTGGGGGATAATGCAAAATCTGTTAACAATTAGGGCTCCGGGTGTGCTACCAGCTGAAAGAGTAGGCTGTACCCAGGGTGCGAGTTGCTGTACTGATCCATAGCACTCCTACTCCCAAGTACTTACTACAACTACCACTATGCATGTGTAGAGTTGGGTAGGATTGTCCCGTTGCATATGCATGAGGTTTCACCCTTCCAAATGTCTTTCACATGTCCTTCCTCCAGATATGACCCTCACAAAGTCCTCTTAGGTGGACCAGGCCTGTGTTACCACCATTTCATGGATGATGCCACTGAGAGACTTGGAAAGATAATATACAGCAGGCAAGAATGAAGGACCTGGATGGGTTTGCTTTCTTCTAGCTAACATTTCAAGTTGCTGTGCTCTGAAACAAGATGTTACTGTGAAGGAAAACCTGAGTTTCTCCTAGACTGATACACACCTCCACGTAGTTGCTTATTTAATGGTTCTTTTAGATGCTACACTATTGTTGAAAACAAAGACCGTGTCCTCATGTTTATCTCTGCACACCCAGCACACAGCTGGAACATAGCAGCTGCTCCCTAAGTATGTGATGATGAATGGTCTAAGGAACAGGAAGCTCAGATTTCAGTCCAGAACTTTAGGCCAATACTTGGCTATGAGTGAAGTCATGACTGTGCCCCAGTTCCTCCATCTGTAAAGCAAGGGTGTTGGATAAGAAGACCCACAGATACACCAAATAAGGCAAGATCAGAGAGGTCATATTCTTGCCCTCGTGGACTGCTGGTTCCATTGCTGGAACTGTTGCTTAGGATCCCAAGGCTCAGCTTCCTCCATCTGAATAACGGAGAATGAAAGCTATCCCTTCTCCTGAGCTTAGATTCACACAAGTCATGTAATGTAACACTGGGCATGCTGCAGTTGTTGGCAAATGCTAGCTACTTTGAGCCTATAGTGGCCATACAAGGTCAGCACTCCACACCCCATCTTCACAAACCCCCACAATTTTGTGATATCTCCTTTCAATTCTCATTTACCTACTGTGTGCTGGCATTCCACAGACCTGGTGATAAATGAGTCCCCAGTGTCCCCAGCCTGCCATGAGTCTACTGTGAGAGATAAGCGACATCCACCAGCAACCGCATCACTCTGCCACTTGGCATCCTCCGAAGAGCAACTGAACTGCAGAGATTGGAAGAAAAAAATAGGGATGAAGGAAAAAGAGCGGGGAGGGAGCTGCAAGGCCCTATCAGTTCTGCAAAAGAGGATGATTCAAGTAGAATGTGGTGCTAATTTAAATCCCGAAATGACTGATGTATTTTCCATGGCATTTTATTAATCAGCCTCAGATGGAGCACAATTTGCAAATTTCATGTGGCAGCTATTAAACATTTTCTCCTACATAAGTAAATGAAAGGGATTTACTAATTCCAGAAGACACTTCATGAATTGGTAATGGGAGCAAGCGCCTAGACACAGACGGACATAGTAAAGTCGCTCGAAATGCAGGGCGGTGCTCCAATCCCAGCTAAATTGATTTAATCCCTCGCATATGTTCTGAGCCCCATAGGACTTGACAAATATTGATAGGATGGCAGAGGGCAGCAATTATTGAGGAAGATTCCAGGGGAAATGAGGACAGTCCCAGAGGAGGGAGGCCAGCATCTTCATGGGCTGGAGGAAACTCTGGAACAATGGCCTGAGACAGCTGGACAACAGGCTGATTCTGCTTTCTAGGCCCACCCTGCCCCATTATGCGCCCGGGTGATTCCTTTCTGGGCAGAAGAAGTCATGACTCTGAATTCTTTCTTTTCTTCTCTCTCATCTTCCCCAGATGATCTGCACAAATTCCATCCTTAGAGTTGCTCTTGTGCAAATAATCCCACACCTTTCAAAGAAGATTTATTTACCACTGAGGACAATGCCTCCAGATTCACAGGTGAGGATTAGTATTTCTGTGTGGGAGGGGGAACTGGAAGCCCGAGGAATAAAGTGCTTCATCAGGGCCAGTCTAGGGCCAAGGTGGCGGAGTTGTGCCCTGACTCTCCACATGTGAGAGTCTTAAAATGTGGAGTCAGATGGACCCCACACCTGCTGATAGATCTCTGCAAGTCTCAGCATGAACTTTGTGCATAAGAGACCCAGCTGTATGACTAGTTGCTGATCATATCCCCTTCTGAGCCTCAGTTTACCTATATGTTAAAGGAGAGCCTTAGAACTGGATTCCCTCCTGCAGCAAGATGTTAAGTAGCATTCATTTCTCCTCCTTAGAAGAATATTCGCCAGAAAGGAAATTGAAGGAATACATGAGAAGGACCACAAGGGTGAGGCTGGAAGAGTCTTTCAGCCCAGACATGGAGGCTGCTTTCCTGTGGATTCGCCACTCCCATGCCTAGGGTCTTCCCCTCCCCAATGATGCGGGTTGCCCGCGCCCTCTTCTGGACCGTTAGCCTTGAATTGTTTCAAGTCAATCAAATTCAGTCAAGTCTGTCCTGTGACTTTGCAGGTGCATATTCAGCATCTTCTCTGTGCCAGGCTCCAGGGCTGTGGTAGAGGTCAAGCAGACTCTGATTTCCAGTCTGTGTGCTCCCCCAGAGTGCAGCCAGAACGTAGCTTCTATTCCCTGCATGTGTGAGGATGAACAGTCTAAGGAAAAGGAAACTCAGGTTTCAGTCCAGAGCTGAGGCCATGACTGTGCCCCAGTTCCTCCATCTGTAAACCAGGGTTTCTGGATAAGAATAGTCGCTAAGGGGCAAGTGCACTGTGAGTTACATGGAGAGAAGACCTCCCTTTAATCCCACAACTCTGTTCTCACACCACTTCTCATGATTCATATCCATTTCCTTTCAAGTTTAGCCATGTTAAGGCATTCTTCTCCTTTCTTCCTGAACACCCCTACACAGGCTTCAGTGCCCCAATAGAAGGTCACCTTACTGTTAAGCTTGTGACTGCTTCCTTTACCCCACTCTTATTTTCACATCTAGTCCCCACAATGCACCTTAGAAACTGTCAGGGGAGCATAAGTTATCTTTTCTATCTGGCTGTGAGTCCTTCATATGGAGCAAGGACACAACTTGCTCACCATCACTGAATTCCTCAGGCAAACAGTACTTCTTGACCTCAGTAAATGTTTGTTGATTGAATATTTTTTCTTATGAGATTTGACAGGAGAGACTAAGAATACAAGACAGTATCACCAAGCTTCCAGCACTGGTAATCAAGGCAAACATTAAACACAGCCCAGCCTCTGGCCAAATTAACATAAATCCTCATACCAAAGGCCCGTTGACTTCACTTCTTGTTATCCAGTACAATGTTCTAGGCTTTCAATAAAAGTTATAAAGCCTTCCAGAAACCTACTTTTTTAAAAAGTGCAGTCTGAAGAGACAAAACAGCCTTCAAATCCAGACTCAAATATAACACAGATGTTAGAGGATCAGGCAGAGAATGTAAAACAACCACGATTAATAACACTGAGGGCCCTAATGGAAAAAGTAGACCACACATAAGAAAAATGTGTAATAGAAGCTGAGAGATGAGACGCTAAGATAGAGTTATAAGAAAATGCTACAGGTAAGAGAAACATCATAACAGACACAAAGGACACCTTGGTCAGCTTCACTAGCAGACCACATACAGCAGGAAGGGACTGGTGAGCTTGGGATTGGCTCTGCGGAAACTCTCCAAACCAAAATCCAAGAGTGAAAATAAGAACACAAACCAGAGCAGAACATCAAGGACACTATTGAAGATGTAACTGATGTGTCACTGGGCCACCAGAGGGAGAAGAAAGATGACAGAGCAGGAGGAATCTTTGAAATAATAATAACTGCAAGTTTTCCAAATTAATGGAAGACACAAAACTAGGCCCAGGTGCTCAGAAAATGTGGGTAAAATAAATGCCATCATAACAGCCAGCGGGGACTGTGGGGACAGGCACAGCGGACACCAGCTCCGATGCCAAATCTTCACACCTTCTACCCACCTCACAGCCAGGACCTGCAGACTGTCTGGATGGCCCACAGAACTGCCGGCCCTGGGCTCCACGGGAGTGGCTGCACCTCGGCCATAGCCTTGGAGGAAAGTCCCAGGGTGGAGGTTGTGAGGGCCCTGGTGGCGGCCACAGTCTGGCCCCTATGACATGACTGCTCCTGCACTGAAGGAGTTTTCTGAGCGGATATGAGGTCACTTGTGGGTTTTTAGGAAGATCACAAAAGAGGCAGGAGGAAGGGCCAACCAGAGCCAGGGTCTCATTTCCTGCCACACCGGTGAAGGACCCTGCTGTCCTGTCTCCCATAGCTGGTCTCCCCACTTGACACTGTAGCCCACCAAAGCCACCTGGTGTGGCTCCCTGAGGAAGTCTCTCTTCCCCTGCCAGGGCACCTCTGGGTCTCTCGCATCCCTCATTCAGGACAGCAGGGAGAGGGAGTGCTGAAGTTACACTAGCTTTGCTTTTCGAAAGCAGGGTCTGCCCCCAGATTCACAGAGGACTGCTCCAAACACTGGAAGTGATTCCAAGCTGAGTGTCCACCATGGCATCCTCCGCACATAAGTCTGAGCAAGGAGCCTCATCCCCAGCTCACCTGGAGGCAACTGTGATCTGGTGGGATGAACATCCCACAGAAAAAGCAAAGAAAGTCTCAGGCCTAAAGTTGACATCCAAGGGTGGCCCTGCTCCTTAGCTTAAACTGTTAGAGGAGTTCTAGCAGCACACCGTGCATACAACTTGGCCCTGCAGATCCTGGCTCCACAGTTGCTCAGGAGGAAGGTTCCCATCCATTTCCATCTCACAGATGCAGATGTGGAGTGTCAGGGAGACGGACGTGGCTGGGCACCTACTCCCAAGACAGCTAGCTCAGGGCTGTAGTGGGCTTTCTTTCTGTTTTATTTCCGCCTTTCCCTTGAGGTGCAATTCTTTTTTCCTGGAGCAATTGATCTGGGAAGAATGGGAATCACTGGGAAATAGATTCTGCTCCTCTGGGATGCTGTTCATTATTTTATTGAACTTTGTTGGCTGCAACATTTTGCACCAAAAGAGCTGTCTCTGCCAAATGCTATCCAGATTCATGCATTATTTACCAGCTAATATCACAGAAACGATGTACAAACCAGCCTTCCTCCACACCCACCCTTCACTCGGAGGCGCAAGAATGCAGCCAGCTGCATTTGTACTACACATCCAGGTTATACTCTGGTTCCACCATCCACACCAGCTCATAGCTTCTGTGGCCAGACATAGTGCACTGGGCAGTAAAAAAAAGTGTTGTCTGTTACCAGCTTATCTACTTAGTATGAGAACAGACGGAAGACCCGTATCATTTGCCTCGTTAGACCTCAGCACTCCCACACCCTCCTAAGCTTCAGTCCTCCAAGTCTGGCCCCAAATGTTATCCCATCTTCCTAAGTACTCTCAACTTCTGGGAAGTAAAATCAACCTGCTCACATACCGGGCTCCTTCCCGCTTGTGCCTGGTCCTCGCTGCTCTTCCTGCCCTCTCTCCTCCCTTCCGCCCATCAGTTTTGGCTGTCCTTAGGAATGGCTCATGCCTGCTTCTTGGGTCCTCTATCAGTAACTCTCTCATGGTGGGAAGTCTTAGAAAGAGTCACTGGGATCCTCTGCTCCTGTGAGAAGAGGCCAGGGCTCTGTGGGAAAACTGAAGCTCTGGTCACTGTGGCGAGGTGTACAGAGGGGCAGACACAGAGACAAGTCTCTGGAATGTCAGTGCTGGAGAACTTCTGTGTTGCACCATTTATCAAAACAGTGGCCCTGTTAATGCCTATTAAATACTGACACAAGGGGGCAGGCTACGGGACACCTCATCAAGGAGGTGCTGTGCCTGGTGGCTCTTTGAGAGGGGGATGGGTTAGAAGCAGGTAAGTGGGAGCCATGGACACAAAGGGCTTTCAAGACCAGGAGAAAGGATGAGCTTTCTAAAGTGGATCTCAGGATAGAGACAAGGAGACCCACGAAATGACCACATCCCCTAGCACATAAATGATCTGAGAATAAACAGACTGAATTCAGGGCTCAAGGAGAATGGAAGCATGCCTGGTGGCACCAGAAGACACATTTCTCGTTTTCAGAATGGATGTGGGAATGCCTGCCTCCCCTCCTCACAGAGGTGTCTCAGATTCACTCTGACAAAGGCTGGGAGAGTGCACTGTGTGCTTCCAGGGAGGCCAGCGGCATAATTCACAAAAGCCATTTCCATATGCTTCTGTGAAGATTCAATTCCCCTCACGAAGTTGCAGGTAAATCTATTTACAGGAATCCATTTGTGCCGGTGGTAGGAGGTGTCACTGCCGCACCTTCCTTGGCCTCTGGCTCTCTGTCCCTGTCACCTCCACCCTCACGAGCCAGCTTGTTTACCCCCCTTCCTCAGACCCTCTGCCCACCCTGTGCTGTCATCTCAGTCCCCGCAGCTTAAAGACTTCCCTCCCAGGACCTCCTTCTCTTTCCATTCTCCTTTACTCGTTGAGGTCCGTGCTCAGCCCTGGACTCTGCTGGCTGTCTTGGTATCCCTTCGCAGGGCTCGCCTTCCCCTCCTCCATGCCTGTCCCCACCCTGTGCCCCCCTCACTCCTAGGGGAGAACTCCATGTGGGCTGTAGAAGCCCTCACACTCCTGCCCTCCATCCCCTCCACACTGACCACCCATGAAGGCCTCCCCAGGAAGTGCCACCTCCTCTCCAGCAGGTGGTCTTCAGAGCTTGTCTTGACCCTCCTCTCATTTTCTGAGACCCCGCTGTATATGGAACACCTCTTGTAACCCAGCCAGCACTGAGGGGCTCCTTGCTCTGAGACCTGAGGACAGGAAGGAATGAAACATTGCCCTTGTCCTGAAACAGAGCTATCCACAGCCAAGTTGAACCCTGGGTGAGAGGGTCCAGTCCCAGCCCTCTGCCTCAACATGCTGAATACCATCCTTGCTTCCCAGTGGATGCACCTGGGAGGGCCCTGGGAGCACTGCCTCGCTGGCATGGGACAGAATGATGTGAGCATGGAAGGCAGAGTTTCATCCTTTTTCTCTGCCAGGCCACCCTGAGTCCCCCTGAAGTCCCCAGCTTTCCTGCCCTCTTCAACCTTGAGGCCCTATGGTGCCCTTAGTCTAGGCATGGGAAACCAGCCTGGACCAGGCCTCCCAAGTCAATTCTGCTGCTAGACCTCATCGGTGGGTGAGTGATTCCTGACACCAGGCTGTGCCCACCAAGCCTCCCTCCTCACTCCCAGCTCTGCTCATCTCATCCCACTGTGCCCACCTCAGATCCCCTGGGCTCCTGAATATGGTACCTCTGCCCTCCACAGCCCTGAACTTTTCCCTGTACAGTTCCAGCCATAGGGACCCTGCTGGTTCCCTTATTTCTGCCCCCATCAAAGCACTTACTCTCCAGTCATCACCCTAGAAGGCTAATGGGTTTTTATATAAATGGCCCCTTGTGTGGCTCCCCACAATTTCCCAGAATTCCCAAGGTGGGCACCCTCATTTATGATGAAGCATTTCACACAGTGCGGATGGGGACTATCGTATCAGTGGCAATAGCAGAGTTGATAGTGGTGACAAGACCAGGCGGCAGCTGCTGTGTCCATGGTCCCAGGCTGTGCACCCTCAGGAAAGCCCATATGTTAGCATCGGAGACCTGCTGACGGAGGAGGTCATATCAGGGGATTAATAGCTACAGACCACTAAACTCTCCTCTGGGCATCTAATCATCTCATCAGGAGAGGCCTAGATGGAGCACTGGCTAATTGTAAACAAATTCCCACCCTCTCCCCTCCCCGCCCTTCCTCCCCAAGACACAGGAACACACTCCGCCTTCTAGGCCCTGGAACTACAGGCAACAGATAATGACTTGTTGGAAAATACCATGCAGCTAAGGCAGTGCTCCTGAATCAGGGGAATTAGACAAGGGCCCAGCTGGGGGCTGAGCACAGAGGGAGCCTGAGACGTGCTCTGCACATCTGGATGCTTCAGCAGCTTCCTGCTTTCTGAGGCTGGAGAGGGCACATGGAGGCTGGGATTTCTCAGATGATGAAATGAGAATTCAGAGGTGTGCCCTAGTAGAGGCTTAGCGATGCTTGGAGCCCTCTGCAGGAGCCCATCCTGTGGTTCTGAGACCCGCAGCCCTGCAGCTATGAGGGCAGTGCCCCTCTTGTCTCCATCCCCTTTGCCCATGCTTCTCATGCCCTAAAGAAAGGCCTGCAACTGGCAGTCCCCTGGGCTGATAAGGGCCATGTGCCTCTGATGGCTTTATGGAGAACATTTTGGTGGTCCTGGGCTCTGGAACAAGGAAAACTGCACTGCTTGCTCTGGGGCCTAATTTCCTACTTCTCCCCCTGTCTGCATCTCAGCTGATTCCATGTGGGTGAACAGCTCCGCTACTCTGGATGCCTTGTGTCTTCTGTCCTGTGCTGTTGGTCGAATGTGTCTCCCCCCAAACTCATATTTTAACCTGAGTACCTCTAAATGTGAACTTATTTTAAGATAGGGTCATTGCAGATATAATTATTTAATTTAAGATGATAGCATATGGTGGGGGCTGATCTCAGATAATTGGTGTCCACAAGAAAAGGGGAACTCCGGGGACAGACATGCACACAAGCACATGGAGACATGTCTGCGAGCCAAGGGGAGAGCCAGGAACAGGTCCTGCCTCACAGCCCTTGGCAAGAACCAGCCTGTGACACCTTAATAACACCTTGACCTCAGAGCCTGTGAGACATCTGATATTTAGGCTGCTTGATGTGCTATCCTTTCCTCTGCCAGCCCAAGGACACCCATACACCTGGATGTAGGCAGCATACAGAATCCTGCCTGCTCCCAGGCACATGCCTGTGACAGCAGGAGTCCAGACCCACAAGAGAGGTGGTGCCAAGGTGGAGTGAGCCTGTGTATGGACATGCTCCCCTTCTATACCTCAGTCCACGTGGCCTGTCCTGCAGTCCTAGGGGATAAAAGCTAGCTGCACACAGTGGCAGGCAGCTCTACCACACCACTTTCATTGGCATTCCTGCTGCCATACTCTCAGCACCCTGGATGCTGCCCTATTTGGGAGAAAGATGCCTTAAACATCTGCTTTCCTGCAATGCTCTTGGGCAAGGCAGGAAGACCATGAGCTGGCAACTGGACTTCAGAGAAAAGACAGCCCT